GAAAGCACTGTATCGAACGGTTCAATATCGATACGAGTATCGTTGCACCCCTAGTGATTTGGTGTTACATTTAAAAAAACAGAAATCGGAGGTTTTGTCCTGATAATAACGTGATTATTACCCATTAATCCAAAAATACTCGAGACTCTAAACGGAGCAAACACACCCCACAGGTCCACACCTGTGAAACTGTCACTGACTCACACTGCAACATTAAACACAGGCTTATGTCACAGTGTGAGAACGAGGAGCAAAAGTAATAGTTTCAGTAATGACATCGTGCCACAGATCGAAACTTAAAATATTACAGCTGTCAGGCTTTAGTCTTCCTAAACCCTGACAGCTGTAATATTTTCACACATGATATTTGTGTCAGTCGGTCTGACTGAGTTCCTCACCCAGATGTTTTCATCCTGTAGATAAGGTCTCCAGTTTTTCTGTGTGTCGCTGTAAAGTAGCCGATACTTTGTGGTCCAATCAGAGCTACTATAGCAACCCTGTGTTGCTATGGCAAGCACCTGCTTCTTAGAACCAAGGTCTACTTGTAGCCACGGGTAACGGTCTGTATCCAATGGCGACCACCCTCCAGAACCTAGATTTTGGGATGTTGTTTGGGAAGAGTTAAAGATGTCGGAAAACAAAGTGAGTAGATGAAGAGAAAACAAATCGTCTTCAGTGTCCTGCAGAAGCACGTCTGCATTACTTTATCTGGATGGTTATTCTGAGGCTTTGCCCACACTGCACAAAAACACTGCACACATGAACTCACATGCCAAATGTGATTTTTAAAACCAGTGAAAAATGCCCACAGATGATTTACAGCCTAAAGAATAAATATATTGATTCTCATTTATATCTAATCGAATCATCTCTTAAATTAAATGGTCGCTGGTCATTATTATTTTAACATTTACATATGCTCTAGAAGCAGCCAGATGTTTATAGTCAGGTAAGGTAAAACTTCACAAAGTTCAACAAACACGTTCAGCTGAGGGTCCGAGTCTACAAACCACTTTCTTCTTTAACATAATTATTTAGTCACAATTATACATCTAACACATGTCGGCACTGTGAGCTGCAGCCTGAACAGAAGCTGACATTTAACACCAAAGCTGTAGAAATGCAGCCATGAATGAACTGTTTTAATATTAACCCTCCACAACCCAGGAATACAAACAGCATCATCCTCCATATTCCCGAGGCATACCTTGTGTCCGGCTGAGTTTGGCATAACCAGCTCCGTTTCCTCGGCTGTATAGAGACGACCCGGTGAAGGAGCTGTATGGGAGAGGAGTGGCCAAGCTGTCCTCGCACCTCCCTGAAACAGAAGCCCACACATGTTTCCTTCAATGCCACCAACA